TCCCAATGTCAAATCTCATAAAGGGAGAAAGTCACTGGTGCAGGTACAAGTTTTTCTCTAAAGCAGACTGAAAGAATTACTACAGTAACATAAGGTAACATGATGCCAAAAATACAACTCATGTTGCTAATTCATTTCACTGTTGGCTCTGAACCCACTGGGGAGAGAATACCTCAAATAAGTTTGCAGCAATTAAGATATTTGATAATAGCTGGGCTCGGTGACTCAGCCTGTAATCCCCCGCCTTGGGAGGCTGAGGTGAGTGGATTGTCTGAGTCCACGGGTTCGAGACCCGCCTGGGCAACTTGGCGAGACCTCATCTCTACAATAAATCAAAAACTAGCTGGGCGTGGTAGCACGCCTGTAGTTCCAGCTACTTAGAAGGCTGAGGTGGAAGGATTGCCGGAGCCCAGCAGGTCGAGGCTGCAGTGGCTGGGAGCGGCCATGGCATTCCAGTCTGGGCGACAGAGTGAGACTCCAACTCAAAAAAAAAAAAAGATATTTGATAATATTTATGATCTTCTTCGGTGGCTAAGATTAACTCTTACTAGAACCAGTCAACATCTGTCTTAAAATCTTTTAGAGAAACTGGAGACTTAATAAGCAACTACTTAGCAGATACCTCTACTGTCCTAGAAATTGATGCTACGTGATTGCAGGTTCCTTAGAGGCATTGTTTTTGTTTTTTTTTTGAGTTGGGGTCTCACTCTGTCGCCCAGTCTGGAATGCCGTGGCCGCTCCCAGCCACTGCAGCCTCGACCTGCTGGGCTCCGGCGATCCTTCCGCCTCAGCCTTCCATGTAGCCGGAATTACAGGCATGCGCTACCACACCCAGCTGATTTTTTGATTTTATTGTAGAGATGAGGTCTCGCTGCCCAGGCGGGTCTCGAACCCGCGAACTCAGGCAATCCACTCACCTCAGCCTCCCAAAGGTGTGGGATTACAGGCTGAGCCACCGAGCCCGGCTGAGGCATTGTTTTTTTTACATTCTGACTCATTTCCTGAATGTTCTCCTAGTGGTCTTTATACTCATTTTGACCACATCTACCCTGAAGTCATCTATATTATCTCCTGTCTTGGAAAGATGTCCCACTCACATGCTTCTTTTGTATCTTCTCTTATTATGTGAGATGCAGTACGGAATTCTACATGCCCAGAACTTCTAAAACAAAAACACTGAAATGCTGATAAAATGCCCATAAGGAGAACCAAATATGACCGGAAATCAGCAGATCTGACCCTGTGATGTTTCAAGACTGAAAGACAGAGGTTTATCCACATGAGCACAGTCTGCAGACATGTGACAAATATTAATGTATCTATCATACTGATGAAACACTGGGCTTTGAAGACATGCTTCCTGCATTTGACTTCCAGCTTTGTATGACTTTGGGAATATTACTTAACCTCCCTGAGCCTGTTTCCTCATCTCTAAAAGAGGGAAAACATACCTTAAAAGGGCTGCTGCTGAAAACAAACTGATAAAAGCATTTAGAACAGTTTCTAGAACACAACACACAATAAATGCTATTAGCTATTATTATTATAAGTTAAAGATACAGATGAAATATAGGAATGGGCTGGGCTCGGTGGCTCAGCCTGTAATCCCAGCACTTTGGGAGACCAAGGTATGTAGATTGCCTGAGCCCGCGGGTTCAAAACCCACCTGGGCAACTTGGTGAGACCTCATCTCTACAACAAATCAAAAACTAGCCGGGTGTGGTAGTGTGTGCCTGTAGTTCAAGCTACTTGGAAGGCTGAGGCGGCAGGATCGCCGGAGCCCAGCAGGTCGAGGCTGTGGTGGCCGGGAGCATGCCACTGCACTCCAGTCCGGGTGACAGAGACTCCAAATCAAAAAAAAAAAAAAAAAAAAATATATATATATATATATATATAGAGAGAGAGAGAGAGAGAGAGAGAGAGGAATGGATGTTTTAGTAAATTTACATATTATGACACTCACTTTCCTCTATTTTTTCTATATTCTGCTTTTGGAAACTGAAGTTCAAATGAATGGTTTGGACTGTTTTGCAAACATTGTTTAAAATGATATCATTCTCACTGGAGTGTGTTCAGCTATGACATGTTCTGAAAAATGTGTGCCAAGCAGGGCTTTGCTTCACCTGAACTAAATATATTTTCTACTCCTCAATCCTAAAGGGAGATTACAGAAAGAGATTTGTAACTAACATCTTTGCCTTTACAGTTTCGCTTTCACAATATACCTTTCTTTTTGACACTACTATTATCTTCTTCACACAAAAATTTTCATATTTCTATGTGCCACACTAGCTAATTTTGCATACAGAAGAAAAAAATTAACTCCTTAACACAACCCTCAAGGCCCCCTACAATCTAGCCTTACCTTATGTTTACAATTTCTGTTTGATTTCTTTCTATCATAAACTACATACTTTTGCCAGACTTGATTATTCACCTAATTCACCACATATTTTCATTTTCTTACTCATTCATTCACTTCATTCAAATACCTTATGCTTACTTACTATATGCCAGAAATTTTGCTAAGTGTTAGGCATTAGAGATTTTTTTAATTATAAAGATGTGGGATACAATTCAGGGTTACGTATACAAATGTTGATTATGCAGGTACCTCAAGTGATGAGGTGTAGGTGTACCTGAAAGATTTTTAAATGCATAGGTTTAGCTTTTAAGGAGTCCACAATTTAGTACAAAAGTTGTGTAAATAACTCATAAAATGGAAATGTCTGCGCAAGGATGAAATGCAAATTCATGAAGCATTCCATAAAAAAAAAAGACAATATGAGAAAATTAACAGTGAATTGCCTATTTATTCCTGTTTGAATTCTTAGGAACAAGCAAGGGCTCGGGAAGCTGGAAAATGTTTCAAATAAGAGGTAAGCTTAAGATAAACTTTGGCGTTAAATGATTGGAAGATTACTTGCCAAAGGCATATAATACAAAATGTCTACCAGGCAAATAAAATTAAATTAAGCCTCAACTATATGAAGGCACCTATGACATCTAAATAAAAGCAAGTACTTTGGTGGGTGTGCAGTATGTTTGTGGGGGAAAAAAGGTAGTAATGAAGGTTGTGGATAGACTGGAAAGGTCTAGGTATGCTGTAAGGTAGTGGTCTCCAAACTTTTTGGCATCAAGGAGCAGGCAACCTAGATCCCGCACATGCTCAGTTCACTATAGGGTATGCCTCCTATGAGAATCTAATGCTGCCACTGACCTGACAGAAGGCAGAGCTCTGCTTGCCTACTGCTCACTTCCTGCTGTGTGGCCTGGTTCCTAGTAGTCCATGGACCCATTGCAGTACACGGCCCAGTGGTTGGAGATCCCTGCTGTAAGGGATCAGATGTCTTCTATTTTTGTTTTGTTCACCTACCAAGTATTTTAACCCCTCTTCTTATAATAGTAACAGACCTTGCCTTCCTTGTTATAAAGCAGATATCTGAACTGGGCTTGGTCAATCCAGACAACAGTGATTCAAGTGATATGCACCTTTCTAAAGCAGGACCTAGAATAAGCCTTCCCTATGATTGGCATAGTCATTTGAAAAAAAGACTATGGCAATGTCTGTGTACTTTGTCTGTGGCTAAGCAAGTGGTGACCTAGATTAAGTTATCTGCACAGTAGAGAAGTCTGTTTGCATTTGTCGAAGATGAGCCCCACATGTAAAAAGAAGAGCAAGCAAAAATGACGTAAATGCAAAAAGAATCCTGGGGATGGTGAATTTCTGTCCCGGAAAGGGAATGAGGTCATAGTCCCTAGTACACTTCCTTCACTTCCACAAGTGACCTGCAACGTCTTAGTCACATGGGTCAATGAATCCCTACTTGAGTCAGTGAGTCTGAGTTCGGTTTCTGACATTTTCAATGGAAAGAATCCTGACTGATACATCTGCCATACAAAGAACTGTTTTTTACATGGTACAGCAACAGGAGAAAGTTTAAGATCTGAAATGTTTTAAGCAGGTGAGTTATAGATCAGAAGTACACTAGGAAAGAAGATCCAATGAGTGGTACAAAGATGGATTTGAGGGAGATCATTTAGGTACTTCTTATGTGTTTCAAGAGTTTGGTCCTTTATCTTAAGGATTTCTGACTACCAAAATAATCCAGCAAGGCCCAGTTCACTTTGCACCTTTTGTCCAGTGCTTTTCTGATGTCACTCAGATGACACGAACGGGACTTTGTTTTGCATTCCTGCAATGCTTCACTTGTACCTCTCGCATACTGGCTTACAAACTTCAGTGTCCATCACAGTCACCAGGAGAGCTTGTTAAAACTAGATTACTGGGCTGTGACCTGAGAGTTTTTGATTCAGTAGGTCTGGGGTGGCACTTGAATTTTAGCAAGTTGCAGATAATGCTGATGCCACTAGCCCAGCAGCCAGCTTTGGGAACCTCTGCTCTCGCATATTTTACTGGAGCTGTATTCTAGTTCATATGCTTTCTGTGTTCCCTGTTCCAGTAACAGTTCCTTGAGGATTTTCTTTTAGAAACAGGGTTCTGATCATAGGTCACTACAGTCTCGAAATCCTGGGCTCAAGCAATTCTCTCAGCCTCCCCAGTACTGGAACTATAGGCACACCACCACACCCAGCTAATTTTTGTAGAGATGAGATCTCTCTATGTTGCCTTGGTTGGCCTCAAACTCCTGGGCTCAAGCAATCCTCCTGTTTCAGCCTCCCAGAGAGCTGGGATTATAGGCATCAGCCATTATGCTCAGCTTCCTTAAGAATTTTCTTATTCATCTTTGTACAACCCTTCATAGCTACCAGGATGCTCTGCGCAAAATTAGTATTTGACATATAACACTGTGTAGAACTGTGAAGATAAAATAAACATTTTATCATAATAAATTCTCTCAATTACCATCCATCCAGAGTCTCTCAACAAATGAACTGTGTAAACTAGAGAAAGAATCAGAAGGCAGAATATATCTTGATTTATTTTGGGCTACTTTTGATTACACAGTTCATCTGGGTGGGGTACAGAGTAACATTACCTTAGGCATCCGGTGACGTTGTAGAATATATCAAAATCGAGCAAACCATTTGCTTTGGGGTAGTCTCCTTCAGGCCATCCCGAAAAAGGGATGATGATATTCTCAGTTAGGGTGAGCAAGGCTTCTGTTATCATTAGATTCTTGAGTTTGTTGTTAGAGGACAAATTCCACAGCAAACCTAGAAAAGCACAGAGTTACTATGAAAACAGTGTAGGGTGGGGTTAAAATGACTGCTGAAAAGTTCAGTTAAGGCCGTCACATCCAAGGCCAGGACTAGTTATAAAAAAAAAAAAAAAAA